ATGTGCAACTCCAATGCACCCACAAGTCTGATTGAGCAGGGTATTGTTGTTCGATGTCACTCTGGGTCTTTCATTTCAAACGGTTTGGCGAAAAAAACGACAAATCATGCCAGATCTAGAAATTCTTCGGTCGCTTTGAAGCCTTCTGTGTGTGAAAAAGAATATCTGGTGCGTGTCGCAATCCCTCGAGACGGTCGAAAAAAAGATCTGAAAAGGAAAACATGCACACGGCCAAGTAGTTTGGAAGAAGAGTCGTTTTCAAGGTCATCCTGCACCCTCCATAGTACAATAAATTTTGTACTCTTGGGCTGATTGACCATTCTACCACACAAGAAGCCGCAAAGAGCGCAAATCGTGCAATTTGGATCAAACGTTGAGAAACCATCAGAAAGATGGTGGAAGATCATTCATGTTAGAGAATGACATGCAATAGAACATGCACGGGGTCTTGGGTCAGAAGTTCATTGTTTGACCAATCAACGGGATCTAATTGGATGGACATATGCAGTTTGACCTTTGGCTGTCTTCTGGGCCATTGGCGCCGCTATGCACCGCTCCACCTCCTGAAGGTACGCTTCATCTCCCTTTTTTTTTGCTCGCTTGCTCACTGATGCTCTGAGCCAGTTCCACCAAGTCGAACCTCAGCCGGCCGATATCTGCAGGGTTAGCTTCGAGAGGCTCAGCATGTGGTGTGTGGGCGACATTACTGACCATGCCATGTCCATGTACATGCTATCAATCACTCTCAAGTGAGCTACATATACGACATGGCTCACTCAAACCTGGCGCAGCAATGGGAAACTGTTGGCGAGATCAGGGACAAAGCTCGCAAGTTACTTCTTGCCACTTGTTCTTGTCAATGAACACTTGAGAAAAAACAGTGGCAGTCATCCACATTCATATGATACAGATTCGTTAAGTTATGATCCCTTTTTCAGTTCGTCCCATTCCTTTACCAGTTGAGGTGAGTGTCCCTGCTGGTACATATGACCGCGACAGTGTGAAGGAGAATATCCCCCTTCTCACGATAGCCATGAAAGCGCTTGGCCTGCGGGTTGGTGTAAATTTGTGCACCATGCATGTCAAGGCATTGTATGACTACATGCAGGTTCCTTGCCCTGGATCCTGGGACTGCATTGTGGAAACAAACGTGAAGGGAAGTGCCATTTCAACCTATATGTGGATTCTTGACAAGTAGCTTAGCTGATTTCTATAGGGTCCATATGGATGTGCTATATTTTTGGGTGGAAAGTGCATTGCGTAATGCTGATTTGTCATTTGTCCCAGGAGCTGTTTCTGAACAGCAAGGTTGGGAGTTGAAGCGTTTGCTGAGCTTCACAAAGAACCGCTTGGTGAACAGGCCCAACAGGCCACGTGACAAGGCTTTGAGAGATTTCATGTCTGCCATCGGTGTCGAATGGCCAGAAAACGATGAGCAGAGTGATGATGGTGAGAGTCAAGAAGAGTCAGCAGAAGAGTCCTTAACAGACACTGACGAAGAAGTGGAACCAGAAGAGATTCACGTTCCAAAAGGTTCAGGGTCAGAACAAAAACGTGAGACGAAAACTACTGATAGTGCTTTGCCGAGAGAGCTGTCTACAAGAAAGGGTGGAGAGTCAGGAGGAGGCGGGGGGTCATGCGTTGTGTGACATGCCTTCTGCACGCAGCTCTCAAATACTATGCATGCAATGGAAAAATGTCACTTCTGAATTTGAGGCTTTGTTTTATATGTATATATGTACTTGGGTGCCAGCTTAGCGTGCGCAGGTGATGTGGCTGCGCCACCAGCAAGTTCTCCAGCTTCTGACTCGCTGGTAGTTACGCCACCGCCCAGACCTACTTCCTTTGCTTCCCCTACTTCTGAAGCGAGTCTGACTCCTGAAGCTGTTTCAGTTCCTTGCATGCAGTTGGCATGCGTGAGAGGTGAACACGTGATATCGTTAACATTTATTCGCTAAAGTTGTGAACAAAAAAGTGGGTACCTACCTGTATGAGGCCAACCGAGACCTGGTGCGCCAACTGCAGCTGCTGAAGGCGTTGGAACAGGAGCTGGAACAGTTGGCCAAGCTGGAATCAAGCGCTCGCAAATTGCCAAGCCCATCAGCAGGCGTGTTTGATGCGATACGTTCTCAACATGTTTGTACACGCAGCCAGCGGTTCTCAAAACATATAGCTAGCTATACGTCTATGTGTGTCCACTGCGTTGAACGGTTTTGTCATGTAGATATGGATGCTTGGCAGGATCGATCTTTGACAACATGGATACCCAACCCATGGAACACTTGGTGCCTGCTGAGGACCGCCTTTTTTGAAGACTTGTGTTGCTCAATGTTTGACCACGTTGGACCTTTTCTTCCAGGAGGCTGCCCCAAAAATTTTCACTGTACCAGCAACGATCTCCAAGGACTGCTGTTTTTCCACTGAACTATGCCTATAAGCAATTGGAATTAGCAGGACGATTCCCTGTCTGACCTCACTGAGATGGTTGCAAAACTGCATATTTCCCCTGCTGATGAGGAGGAGGGGTGCATATGTCGTGTGTTTTTCCACCAATGCCATTCCCAATCATCTCAATGATGTCCACTCCACCGCAACTCTTCTTCCCTCAGGAGCCCGCACCGCATCCGGCAGAGGGCAGCTGTCCATTGCAATCAGAGGACCTTGGATCCGGTGGTAGAGTTCGTCTTCATTTGAAGTCGTTCAACATCAAACACACACACAATGTGAGTCCTAGCTTATTCATTCCATGCAGGATGTCAATGCTGGGTCCAATGTCACACCGGAAGTGGTGGAGCAGGAAGTCACACCGCAATCTGAACTGCAAGTGGTCGACCAGGAGCCCTGATATACACATATGTTCATCTCAACAATGCTTAAGAGGTTCCTGTTACACTGCACCAGGAGATGCGTGTTGAAACACCTGCTCCAAATGCCACCACTGAAGAGGCATGAGCTCGGTTCAAACTCAAACGTTTACACTGCCTTTTTAATGGTACAGTACCATCTATGTCTGCCTGCAGTTGCCTTTGTCACATCCTATGCCCTTGGGCGACACGAGTCAGCTGCAGGATAGATGCCCCCGCCCTTGGCTGTTGACATGGCATTTTATGTTTATTTTTAATCATTATTGGCTCATTGGTCCACGGCCTCGCGCTTGCAGGAGACAAGTGAGATCAATGAGCCTACAAGCGCAGAGGTCACCGCCTTGAGCACCGAGGAGAGTCCAAAAGTCAAAACACTTGACAGGATCTACAAAAGTATAACACTGTAAAATACATGGCCAGGAATCTGGCTATATCCCTTACAAAGAGCGCATTCAATCGTTTTTCAACCGTTGGCCGGGTGCCACAAAAGCACTGGAGGACTGCTGTCATATTTGCTGCTGATGGCACTTAATATATATATATATATGAGTTTCCAAACTGGTAGGAGAAGCCACCAGCGGAAGATCCTGCATCAGCATCTGCTTGCGCTCAAAAGGAGAGGGGGGGGGGGCATGGGCTTGCCCTTCCACACACATGCATACACAAAGAGAGAGAGAGAGAATGCAACGAAAACAATTTATACATATAATCTAAACATGCATAATTTTTGTGCAGGAAGTGGAGGCACATGTTCAGATTGTCCTGGAGCGGCCTTCCTGCAAGGAGCAGTGTCCTTCAAAGCCCAAAGGCAGAAAACCTAAAACACCGGCTGCAGAAAGCAAGCAACCAGTTCCAGGTCGACCCTCTGCTGCAGCATGTGGCTTTTCCACACATGGCATGACTGATGGAGAAGTGGCGCAACGGCTTGATGCCACTTATGGGGTGGGGGCTGAAGGCAGTGGACCTGAGGTGAATGAGAAGCTTTCGAAAACAGCTCGGAAGCAAACACACAAGGCTAGGGCTGCAGGTGGTGGTGAAGGCACGGGTTCGGGCGCAGCAGCATCGTCCAGTGCTGGAGCGTCAGGCGCAGCTGCATTAGCGGATGACAAGTCAGCCGCAGGCAAAGCACCTCGACGCAAGCGGAACAAGACACAGGCTGAGGTAAATGAGACAGATGCTGAAGTGCCTCCAGTACCAAAAGGTCAGCGGAAACCAAAGAAGACCGGAAAGCGTCCTGTCAGAAAAGGTAGGAAGGCAAAGGAAGCTGAGACTGAGCAAATTCCTGAGGAGGCAGAGCCAACTCCTTTGAAGGCATCGCCCCGTGTCCGAAAAGGTAAGAAGGCAAAGAGAGCAAAGACTAGGACTGCTGAGACAGGTCCTGCGGAGGTACCTCCTGTCCGAAAAGGTAAGAGGGCAACGCGTGCTGAGACTACTGAGCCAGGTCCTGCACGCAAGAAGTCAAAGCGGGCTAAGGCGACTGAGTCAGATGAGGTACCTACCGGGTCTGCGCCATCCAAGCGACGCCGTGGTAAATCAGCAGCACCTCCACCTCCCAGTGAGCCTGAGACATACGTCTCAGCTGTAGAACGCAAGAGCAAGCAAAGCAGGAAAAGCAGTGCCTATCACAAGGCACGATTGGCAGCTAAGAAGGCTGGCCTGTCACTGGAGGAACAGAAGGCTGCTGGGAAAACTGTTTCTTAGATGAAGCTATAACTATGTATGGTGCACATATGTGTTCTTTAAATCATATGCATTCAAATTGCATGAGCACCTAGAAAGAATTAATAACGATACGGAGTGCTGCATGCCTTGCTCAGGCTTACCATGAAACTGAGTGAGAGCGCTGAGCCTCGCATTTTTCACTTTTGGGGGTTCAAATAGAACAAGCCGTGCCAGGAGGGCTGTTCTAGGGTTCAATTGCCAATTGGCGTTTGGTTAACACGTGCGCTGCGCAAACAGCTGGACCATGTGTTCGTATGTGCAAGCTAGCCATGAGAAGAAAAGGCCTGGGTGCTTTGCAACTTGAAAGATATAGTCGATCAAACAACTTCTACGTAATATATATGGCGTTTTCAATTTTTGGCATGGTGGTTGTGAGGGGACTGTTTTCCATTGACCTTGGGTCCCCTGCGTCAGGTGGCATGGGCTATCTTGCACGTCTCGCTTCCAAAGGTTGACCTGGCATGATTCTGTTGGATCTCATCATGCGCATGCTTTACAGTTTCCATGCAGTCAGATTGACATAGACATATTGTGATGCCCCACCTTATCTGGAGAACTTGTGGTCTCAAGGGATTAGCGTTAGACCTCATGCCACTGGGGAAAGACTCGTTGCTGATCCCGCTCTTCCAAATGAGAGCACCTAAGGCCTTGCCCTTAAGACCATGCGTGTTCCAACTTCCATCAACCAGTGTGCGTTATTGTTCGTATTGGAATGGTGGGCTGAGGTCCTCATTGCTATGGTGCCATACTGAGATTCCTCATCTGTTTGCAGATCCGGCCCAAAGAACCCTCTCCAGCCTTGTGGGCTGCAAGGTGCTACTCCTCCAATGGGCTGACCTGCCACACCTGCAATTCAGCTGTGTGGAGCTGTTTGCTGGCGTGGGAAACGTCAGTACTGTGTTTCGACGTCATGGAAAGTCGGTGGCAAGCTTCGACAAGAACTATCACGAGTCCATGGATTTCACTCAGTCGGCTGGTTTCATGCCAGGGTCTGAGTTCATATGGATTTCACACACGTTCCCATTTCCAACACATATCTCAATCTGCTTACCCAAGACTGCTGAAAGGGGAAAGGGTTGTGATATGGAACCTTGCATTGTCAAGAACGTGGACCCTGTGAAACAACATGCGTGCCTGTAGAACAATTGGGGGGGGCATCCAATTTGTTTTGACTCTCGCTAAGACTGGCGCTATGGATGGTTCTATCGGCAGGACCCTTCAGCTGTTGATAGGAAAGCGTCGGAGGTAGCCATGCAGCTAAGGTGCCACAGGTTTCAATCTTTCGATTCTTTACATGCATGTTTTTCCTTTGAGGCCACAAGTATATGTCCAAACCCGGTCAAAGAGTCCGATGCCCATGCCTGCGCAGGACCTGGTACACTCCTTTTGCGCGCACCGCCATGCTCGTCCTGGACGCGCGTCTCGCGTGGGACGACGTGGCGAACCATGCTAAATCCCATGGGACTGTCCTATGCTTTCGTTGAGTCAGCCAATTTGACCATCTCACGGCCACTTGATTTGACCAGCTTTATGGCTCCAATCCAAGAACCCTTCAATCGAATTCAATTGCATCGCTAGTTGATATGTTAATGCCCTATATACATATGGAATCGTTTATGGCTTAGGCTTACTCTCATCCTGCTGGTTGCAGAGTGTGTCCAATGCTGCTGGATGGTGGAGCAACCGACAGGGAGTTCAGACACAATGCCATATCATCCCAGGCTGTCTTGGTTCATGAACCAAGCAGTTTATGCACCTTGAAATGTATATATGGTTTCCAAGAGTGCTCTAACGCATTTTAGGGCGTGTTCAAGGTAACATGCACGGAATCATATTGCATGGGCTAAGCGACTAAGAGTCTCCTTTGACCAGCCTATCCATTGGTCCGGCTGAGGTGTTTCGCAGGGACTTTTGGATGATGTTATGGGGAGCCCAGTGCCCCAAGAGGACAACAGTATGGAGTTCGGATGGGTACATCATCAAGAAGCTTGTGCCGGCCCTACAGTAAAAGGATGTATAGTACGTGATACCACCAACTGCACGCTATATTGCTGATTGCCTAGGACTTGGGACCATTGACAAAAGAGTTCCGCGAATCCCAAAAAACTTTGGAGACCACATGCAGGGCTCTAAGCATGACATCCTGGCATATGTTCATTCAGTACCCTTAACGGGCGAGGTTCCTATGAAGATGCCCGGGGAGCGAAACGCTTCAAAGGCCTTCCTGCACTTCGTGATAGCCAGTTGGGGGCTTATTGTAATATATGTATACAATTCATGAAACGGCCCTTTTCCACCGGACTCCCAGGACCTATCCGGTGAAGTTTGGAGAAGGCCTGCATGAGATGATGTCTGAGTGGCGTCCACAGCCACGCCTGAGGCAGAAAAAACCGGTCGACTTGACACAGTCGGACAAGGAACTGTTCTGTGGGCTCCCACTGGGAGACAAGTGGGCGGATGCGAATCTTGTAGATGCATACATGTACTTGCGGTCGTCCGAGAGGTGCCATATCCCGGACACATGGAAGCATGTGTTTGAGGAGCTGGATTTGGAGTTGGCTAGCCCCAACTAATTAATTTGGTTGCGCCCTCTTGGATATGCTTTTTGGCACCAAGAGGACCCTGAATGCCACAAAACCACCAGAAACCATATGGAACGCTCCAAAACACTCCAAAACCACCCCGCAAAAAGTACGCAAATTTCCCGCAAAAGTACGCAAAAACCCGCAAGAATGCACAAATCGGGATTTCTGAACTGTGGCATTTCATGAAATGGATGAAATTGGTCATTCTATGACCATCCTGCAATATGTTTTGGTCAAAAAGGAGCCTGATGTGTTCTGTAAGCTCTGTAAGTGCTTCATGAATATATTATAATATGATTTATTTTTTAATAGTCCTTGGTGGCTCAACCCGCGGCTCAACCATTGGACCATAGCGGTACTTCTTGGGATGCGCCCAGCAAAAACGTTAGACGAAGGGATCTCGTTGATCCTTGAACAACAGCGTGCCACCATGGCTGAGCCATCTTCTGATTTGCAACGTCAGCTGGAAGTGCATGCCTGAGATCACAATACAAACCTGAGCTTTAGGGTGGTTGACGCTGCCATGTCTTGAGGCGACCCGTGCCCGGGTGGCGGCCCTACAAGCTCAGATTGGCGCAGACCATGGGGAGGTTGTTGTAAGCAGCCCGGAAGGACTTTCATGTCTCAATGCCCATAGATGAATTAATATATATATATAGTTGAAAAAACATACATATATATATATATATGAGAGAGAGAGAGAGAGCTCCTGTCTACCTGACTATCCAATACCTTCAATTTGTTTTCAGTTGACCTGCATGAATCTGTCGGTCTACTTATAGCCTATTGCTGATTATGTTGGGGCCTGTATTATGCACCAAAGACCATGCATTTTCGTTGCGGCAAGGACCTTTCCATCATGAACCCCAAGCAGCAGGTCGATTTGTTCCGGGCCAGCGCCGGGGATCGAGAGATTCCCAAAGAAATTCCACGTGGAATCACGAATGAGAGCCTGTGCGCAGTGCCAACCCCTCGCAGAGTTTCGTTTTCCAGCCCCAATGAAACTGGTGACACGGCTTTGGATCGTGGCCGTTCAGGAATCCTTTCCCCAGACAACCAATTGGGATTGGAACTGACCCCAGGCATGGGTTGTTCATCACCTGCATCAACCGTGCCATATGCAAGGGCGGCTACTGTTGAGACAACAGCTTCGGAGCTTCCAGCTACAGTGCCTGTGGCTCCTGCTGGGACCCCACCGCCTGCTGAGATCTCACCGCCAGTTCCCCCTGCAGGTTCTCCTATTGTTGTGCCCTCAGATTCCGCAGCCCGTGATTCCCAGCAGGATGGACAGAGCGAACCACCTGTCCCACCGCCACAGGTCCCAAATGAGGCTCCGAGCCATTCAGCTGATTCAGCAGGTTTGCCAAGGGAGGCTCTGGATCAGCCTGCAGGTTCTGACGGTAAACGGGTTGTCATCGAGGGTACCATATATGAAGATGGAACTTATTGGAAGAAACTAGTTTGCAATTTAAGATGCAATGCCCTGTCAACTTTGGAAACTTTGGGTGGCTAGCGCTTGTTTTGTGGTGCCGAGGATGGATAGGTACATCCAAAAGGGAAAGAAGGGAAAAGTCCAACTGAATCCGGAGGTGGTAAAGCTTTGGGGATCCAATGTTGGACGTAACCTGGCATGCTGTTTTTGATTATACTGCATATATGCATTGGCTTTTGAAAGCTTTACATGCAATACATATGCATTAAACACCCCTTATGTCCAACCAGCTAGGTGAAAAGCTCCAGGAGCTGCTGTACAAATATGATATGGAAATGGATATGGTCAATCTCAACATTGAACGGGAACTTGCCGAGGTGGGGTTCAAAGCACATTTGCAGCTAGCATATGTGTTCAGTAGGAATTAGCGATATAGCCATGCATGCTCTACCATTGTAGGAGACAGAAGAGAAGACCCTTGGTGGATGGAAAACTGAAGCACAAATGCTACTTCTACCTGGTTGGACACAGTATTCACCTCAGCCTTTCAATGTTCAAGTGACAATCCATATGCATAGATCTCGCCAATATATGCACCCCTAATGTCTCTACACCCTCTACCTCTCCATCTCCCAGGACCATGGTGGACAATGCGAAAGCTTGGGCTGAGGAAAGGGGCTTGGCTCGAAGAAACAGCGTGCACGGTGAGATGGAGTACCGTGTCCCTGTGGAGTTTAGCTATAGCCATACTGAAAAGGAAACGTTGAAAACGAAAGTCGGAGCCAAAACCCAGATGGAGGCCGGGCCTTGGTGCTTTCCACTGTGAAGTAACTTCCACTACCTTGGTCTAGCTGGTAAGCTTTACTTCTGTAACGGCCGTCAGGGTGGAAAGGGACTTCTTTTGGGATCATCTGCGGACCTGACCTCTGAAAAGGCTATGCTGACACGTGGTCGCAATTTGTTCAACCAACAAATATCTTAAACTATTGTTTGGCCACTACCTTATTTTTTGTTGGAAGGTCACAACCACAGCTAAGGAAAGGATCCAATGCCACACACTTCAGCCTGGCAGAGCATGGGGTAACTCCCAATGCCAAAAATAAGGGTAAGAAGCTGGCCTTTCCTGTTCTCCAAGTCACACAAGACCCGTATAGTATCTTAGCGAATTACCTGTGTGCGCGCACCTCCATATGAGTCGATAGGATTTCACTGCTCGCTTCAGGTAGCCTCCAGGCGGGGAAGAAGATTGACCAAGCCGAAGATCTGAAGGCATATAGTACGTATACGTTTTTTACAGCTATATAAACCCATGCAAATATGTCCCACCCATCTCTAGAACTCTGGAATGATAATTTTTCCCAGGAGAAACTCACTGAGATGGACACGGAGCGTGCCAAAACGCACTTTGCTTAGAGGTGTTAGAGGTCTTTGCACAAATATAGCATTGGGCCCAAGTGCAGCCAGTTCGCAAGCAGCCAGACCCAGGCTTGGCGCCGAGCTGCTGACAAAGCTTGGCGCCTTCCAGGCGAAGTTCGATGAGCTCCTGAAGTTGCAGGCTGATGCCATGCAAATGGAACACCCACCCTCCCAGCCAGAAACTGAGATTTTAGGGCAAGAACCTTTGAGCTATACACGTAGGTGCATACATATGTGAAAGACTGAGTACTCTGGCAATCTCTGGTAGATATAATCGCTTCATATGTAATCCCCTTCGCCACAAGTGGCTGGCTTGAGGCACCTGAAATCCCAGCTCCGGATGAAGTTGTGTGAGCTGACGAAAGAAGATGTTCAGCTCAACCAGGTCGTGACCCGACGCAGGCTAGGAATCTTTGACTAATAATAGCATATCGATATCGATCGTTTTTTTCTGTACATATATACAGCTCAACTGTCGTCCGACTAGGGCAGTGAAGCCAAAAGCAAAGGAGAAGCCGGCTGCGGCTGGGAAGAGGAAACGTAAGACTAAGGGCAAGAAGGTAGAGGTCAAGGAAGAGGGTTCTTTGGATGAGGAAGAACCTGATTCCGATGGTGAAGACGAACAGTCGGTAAAGGCTAAGAAGAAAAAGAAAGCAAAAAAAGCGCCAAAGGAAGACCAAACAAAGAAAAAGAAGGGCAAGAAGTAGGTGATCGCATTCTGCGTTTTGCAGTGTGTAAGTTTTGATTTCTATGCCCAACATGCTTAGGGTGGCCACGCAGTGGGGTGATTTTGTATAAGAGTACTCTAGTTACACCATATATCTCCTGTTGGCTGTTGGTGGTGCCCCAACGATATGCCTGGCCATTGGCGTGTTGCGGCTCTTTACATGAGCACTCAGCAGCCTAGCCCGCTCTATTCGGAGCAAAAGGTTCTTCAGCTTTGGATGCGATTGGGTCTTGCAAGCGTATGGTGGTAGATTCTCCCAAGCGATCAATTCTCAAATTCACAATCCCATGAACCCCGGTCATCAGTCAGTTAAGCCCTTGCAGTTCCTTGTACGCCAGGTCGACGCAAAGCACTGGCCGCCCCAGGCCTGGATATCTGGGCACAATCATGTTCCCATTCGCTCATATGGCAAGTTCGCTAGCCAAATAAAAACACGTCGACCTCAAGCAGCAACTATGTAAGACCATGCCCCAGTCTATCGATCAGTCATATGCAACCCTATAGGGCTATTTGTACCATTCCTCTTCATTGCAAGCAGAAACATTGCTAGCGGAGCTGGTGATGCCGGCCTCGATGGAGAAGAGCTTGCGGACGACCTGGC